ACATTGGTATTGAAAATCTTAAAAAATCATAAGTTCCCAATTTTAAGAGAATTCCCGCTAAGATAACAGATCCAGCGGTGGGTGCTTCTACATGAGCTTCAGGTAACCAAATATGAACTGGTACCATAGGTACTTTCACTGCAAAAGATGCAAAAAAAGCAATCCATAACAATATTTGACGTCGTTCGCTAAATTTTGTTGTTAATAAGATTTGTAAATCAGTGGTTCCCGTTTTAAACAAAATCAATAAAATAGTTAAAAGCATGAAAACGGATCCAAGTAAAGTATATAAGAAAAATTGATATGCTGCTCGTATTTTTCTCTGTCTAGAACCCCATACCCCTATAATAATAAACATAGGGGGAATTATAGTAAAATATATTACCGACTCTGGTTCGGAACAGAAGAACTCAAAAAGTTTCTTCGAATTATCTTGCCATATATTTCTGTTCAAAGTATGCTAAGAAAAACGATGTTGCTTTACAAAGATGCTAAATTTCAACAACGCTGGATCTCTTAGATGAAATTATTGAATCCTAAATTTTCAGAACAGATTGACTTGATATTGCAATCAAAACAAAAACTCAGAGAATGATATAGTTCATTTTTTATTTAAATTCAAAATGACCCTGGTAGTCCATGCCGTAAACGATGAGTGTTGGTCCTTGGTCTACGCCCGGTGGTTTTTAGAGGCGATTCGATGAGGGACCTAGTTAACGCGTTAAACACTCCGCCTGGGGAGTACGGTCGCAAGGCTGAAACTCAAAGGAATTGACGGGGGTCTGCACTTTATCTTAAAATTCGAGGTATGCCAGATATGCCTTTAGATGTAATAGAAGATAGATTGTACTATTATATAATTAATGTACTATTATATAATGAATAAAGGAAAGAGAGGTTAAAACCTTAATTAAATATAAAATTTTATTCGACTAAATAAATCATTCAATGAATAAAAATCAATATTAAAATATGAAATAGCAAAAAAAGAACAGGTTTATTTAAGATAATCAAGGATAGAATCCTTGTTTAAGCTCATTCTTTTTTTAAATTAAATTCATTTAACAAAAATAGGAATAAGTTTATTGCGGAGAAGTTTCTTCTATTTCTATAAACTTCATTGTACATATTTATTATATTGATTTTATTTTGAATATTAATATTGAGAACATATAGAATCTATGATTATAATATTGTCTATACAATATTATTCTATATGTTATGAAACATACATGGTATGATCTTTTTTGATCACTCTTATGACTTATAAAACATTGAATTTTTGTAGTCAATATATGGAGAACTTTATAACATATCTAATGGGTGATTAGGATTGACTTTTGGTTTGTATATTCCAAACGGAATGAAGTTTACTTAAACTGATTATTCAGTAGCTCTTAGCCTACCAGTAAATTTAAGAAAACTCAGAATATTCTAGGAATATAAATTCAACAAATAATCATTCATATGAATTCATTATAATGTTGTTGATACTATCTATGAATATATAATTTAGACTCAAGTTTCATTTATAATTCATAAAAAAGATCTATTATACATATAAAGATCTATTAATTTTATAAAGTAATTAATGTACATATGATTCCTAATATCATCTATAGATTTTATTTATTACATTATCTATAAAAGAATAATGAAATAAGAATAATAGGAATAGAATTCAACGAATATGAGTATAGACTAAGTAATTAAGGAATATATATTTGTTATTATCATTATAAATTGAGTATTTTGTATTTCTATGTAAATTTTATTACTCTATAGATTGTATGAGAATAAATAAATATCTTTATATTATCTATTAGATTGTAATTATATTGATTATAATCATAGTTTATTTGAATATTAGTAATATATGAGAAATCATATCAATATGATAAAAATATTCTAGATTGAATATTTTATTAGACTATCAGAGAATAATATACATATATGCATATATATTATAGATAGATAATATCTATATATCTATATAATATACGATACAATAATAGTATGCAATAAATTTATATACAATGAATTGAAAGATTGAAGGCGGCCTTATGAAATGCTTCTTTAGGGGTTATACTTCCATTTGTTCAAATTTTAAAATAATTAGTTCACTTTTCCAATCTCCTGCTTTTTCTACAGGATGAATATTGTAATTTACATTTCGAATTGGCATGAAAATTGCATCTATAGAAAAAGAACCTTTAGATATTTGTGTTGCATTTTGTAATCGAAAGCCCGTGYTTTTTTCAATGGTTAATTCTGCTTTAAAATCAATCGGTTCTGTAACATGGGCAATAATTTGATTACTATCAATAATCTGAATACAAGGTTCTATTTGAATATCTGATGCAGTAATTTTTTTAGGGCCTTTAACAAAGATAAATCYTTTTTGTATTTTGTCACAAACTCCTTTCAATACAATCTCTTTTAAATTTAATAGGATATCTTGAATAGATTCACGTACACCTGTTAAAGTACAATATTCATGTTTAATRTTATCAATCTTTACACATGTTATACATATWYCGTCTAAATCCGATAATAGTGTTCTTCTTAGTATAATTCCTAAGGTATTAGCTTGTCCTGTTTTTAAAGGAGCAATAGCAAAACGTCCATAATGTATACGTTGACTTTCTATCTTAGATTCTAAACATTTTCATTGAATTTTGTCATCAGTAACATTTTGAATCATTATGGAATATCCTTCTCCAGTATTTCCTTAAACGCGTCTTTTTTTAGGAGGCCTACAACCATTATGAGGTATAGGAGTAACGTCTCTTATAAAGCTAAGGATTACCCTACTATTTCAAATTGCACGTAATGCAGTTTCTCGAAGGTATTCATAAAGAGATAAAAAGAGATCCTAAAGTTTTTGTAATAGGTGAAGATATTGGTCATTATGGGGGATCTTATAAAGTAACAAAAGGTCTTTTTGAAAAATATGGTAATTTGAGAATACTTGATACACCAATTGCAGAAAACAGTTTTACACGAATAGCAATCGGTGTTGCTATGACAGGACTTAGACCTATTATAGAGGGAATGAATATGGGATTTTTTTTGTTAGCATTTAATCAAATTGCTAATAATGCAGGAATGCTACATTATACTTCAGGAGGGAATTTTACAACTCCTCTTGTAGTGCGTGGTCCTGGAGGAGTAGGAAGACAATTAGGTGCTGAACATTGTTAAAGATTAGAATCTTATTTTCAATCAGTGTCAGGACTTCAGATCGTAGCTTGTTCTACTTCTTATAATGCTAAAGGTTTAATTAAATCAGCTATTCGCAGTGAAAATCCAATTTTGTTTTTTGAACATAAATTTTGTATTTGTTGTTATTTTATGATTTTATTGAGAATCTTTATTAACAAAAATTGTAATTCTACTATTTGATTTATATTCTATATTAATATTCTATTCTMTACTTTTCTAGTATCTCTTTTATTAAGTTATTGTATAKAAATTCTAATTTCTATCACAATGTCTATTATCATATTAATTCATTAATTATATAAATATAAATTATATAACTTAATGTACTATTATATAATTAATGTACTATTATATAACGAATAAAGGATAGAGAGGTTAAAACCTTAATTAAATATAAAATTTTATTCGACTAAATAAATCATTCAATGAATAAAAATCAATATTAAAATATCTTGTTCTAAGCACAGAAAAACCATCATTTATTTGCACACAAATGACTGAAGCTTTGAAAACATATATGCAAATTTCCCTAAGTTTCGCCCTTTTTTTTTTTTTTCCTTTTTTCAGTTATCAAATTTGGTGTTTTGTTATTCCTAGTTGTTACAAAACACAAAGGGTCCAATGAACAAAATTGTTCTATTTAAGTGTAATTTCTTTCTTGTTGTTTTTTTTTCTTATTTATTATTGGGTAGTTCCCATTATTTGGAACTTGTTGTTTACCTTAAATACAACATCTACGAATTTACTACACATTCAGTTACAACCGAAGATTTATGATTATATTTTGTTGACTGTTCGTATTTTGTTTGTTTCATCAATATGTTCTCAAGTATCAGTCTTCATGATCTTCTTAATAGAATCAAAACGTATTTCAGTAAAAACCTGTATAAAAAATCGTCGTTCTTTTCTCTTTTTCTCAGTCTTAATAGCAGCTTTTTTAACTCCTCCAGACATTTGGTTTCAATTTTTGTGTGTTTTACTTATTTATGGTGTGATAGAATTAGCTATATTTTATGCTTTTATTTGGCAAATTTCTCAAGACAAAATAGCTGACAGATCTAATATTGAGACTTGAAGGATAAGAAAGATAATTAATAAAGCGCCCATTGGAACTGTTTGTAAGAAACCATTCTAACTAAAGATATAAATAAAGATACATATAGTGCCGGAAAAGTGAAAATAAGGCCTCAACCTTACATATCGCTCTTCGTTTCTAGTGTACGGCTAGCGGGACTCRAACCCACAAGGCGCGAAGCGCCGCCATATCCTTATTCCGTTCGACTTGCATGTGTTAAGCATGCCGCCAGCGTTCATCCTGAGCCAGGATCAAACTCTCCATTAGATTCAAAGTTTAAAACCTGAGCTGCTTTCGTGATTCAGTAACAGAACTGAAATATCGGTTTTTTTCTACTAGGAAAAAGCTCTATCAATTAGTCTTTTTGTTATCGGACTCGAGCCCAGTATAGCCATGACTTGTTCACGTGTCAACCCTAGAGTCATATTTTTCTCCAACAAAAAAATGAATATGCGTCTTATGGGAAATTTGTATACAGATTAGATATAGTTTTGTTCTTGATGACTTAATTAGATTGATTTCCACTCTCTTACATATCTYTTTTTTTCTTATTTCCAAATTCAAACTTAAACAGTCTTTAATCAAGTAGTTGGTTTCATCAATCTAGGGATAATCAGACTTAAAGTGATGGCTTCCACCATGTCAAGGTGGCACTCTACCGCTGAGTTATATCCCTCAACGAGAATTATTAAAACTAGCATATTGAAAGATTAAGCGATTAAAGTAGCCATGAGCTGCTACAATGTTATAAGTTTCTTCTTCTTGACCAAATTTGTAACCTGCATTAGCAGATTCATTTTCGGTAGTTTCACGGATTAAACTAGAAGTTACTAAAGAACCATGCATAGCACTAAATAAAGAGCCGCCAAAAACACCAGYTACACCTAGCATATGAAAAKGATGCATTAATATATTGTGTTCTGCTTGGAAAACAATCATAAAATTGAAAGTTCCAGAAATACCCAAAGGCATTCCATCAGAGAAGCTTCCTTGTCCAATAGGATAAATTAAAAACACAGCAGTAGCTGCTGCTACAGGAGCAGAATATGCAACAGCAATCCAAGGACGCATGCCCAAACGGAAGCTAAGTTCCTATTCACGACCGATATAACAAGCTACACCCAGTAAGAAATGAAGGACAATCATTTCGTAAGGGCCACCATTATAAAG